GGTGGTGCTGTGGGTTAAACCGCAGAGTCTAGGACTTGCCGATCAGAAGGTCGGCGGTTCAAATCCCCGCGACGGGGTGAGCTCCCGTTGCTCAGTCCCTGCTCCTGCCAACCTAGCAGTTCGAAAGCACCTCAAAGTGCAAGTGGATAAATAGGTACCGCTCCGGTGGGAAGGTAAATCGTGTTTCCGTGCGCTGCTCTGGTTCGCCAGAAGCGGCTTAGTCATGCTGGCCACATGACCCGGAAGCTGTACGCCAGCTCCCTCAGCCAATAAAGCGAGATGAGTGCCACAACCCCAGAGTCGGTCAACAACTGGACCTAATAGTCAGGGGTCTCTTTACCCTTTACCTTTTATGCCAGGCATAGGCAAACTCGGCCCTCCAAATGTTTCGGGACTACAACTCCCATCATCCCTAGCTAACAGGACCAGTGGTCAGGGATGATGGAAATTGTAGTCCCAAAGCCATTTCCGCCTTCGGAGGAGAGGGGGTTGCGGGCGACCCCCTCCCCCGCGCGGGGGCTGTCCTTATGCCCCGCGAGACTCAGGGAATCCCCGGGCGTGCCTCCGACCCGACCCGCCAATCGGCGGGCCGGGGAGGCGTGGCCTGACCTATTTAAGGCCAGGTACGCCCGGGACCGCCCTCTTGCCCCTCGCCACCTGAGCGGATTTTTCTAGCGGATATCGGTTTTGGAGCTGGTCGAGAATTTTTTGCTTTAGCCTTTCTTCGTCCGTGGCTCTTTACTGCCTCAAGGAGGATCGCGGAGAGCCCTAGCCTTTTCAGGGGAAAGCCTATCCATATCAACGCACAGGGAGGCGAGCTGATTTTGTTTTTTCCGGTTACCTCGGCAGCCAGTAGCTCAGACGCGGTAGCGCCGGCGACGCGGGTCTCCTCCTCCACAGGGCGACTCTACTATTCAACGCACCCCGGCACACTTGGAGTTCCCGCAGGGGATCTGTCGCCGCGTGCCCCCGTTTCAAGAGAGGACCTCCGAGTGGCAGGATTTCGGAGCGCGGACAACCCGGAAATTGAGGTTTGGCTTCGGGGTTCTTTCAGGAATCTGCTGGCGTCCCTATCGTTTGCTGCTTTAGGGAGTGCTTTATTTGTTGAGGCTTTTGGTACGCTTGGGTTGTTTTTCACACTATATATTGAGCGCATTGATCTTGCCGGGGAAGTGTTTATTCGTTGTCAAGGCAACCGCCGCTTCCGAGGCCATTACACTTGATCACGTGGTGCGGGCTCAGGGCGTTCGCCATTTTGAGTGTGGTTTTCAGCTTCCAGGCCTATAGCGGGCGCCATCTTGTTAGGGCCACGTGGGCAGGCCGAGCAGCCATCTTGGGAAGGGCAGCCGCCATTTTGGGGAGGGCGAATACGCTCTTCCTTTAACAAGAGATCCCTTGGCAGGCATTTTTAGCATTAGCGCCTTGACTGTATTTTAATAATACCTTGCTTTGCATTTATATTTACTGTTTTTCAGGGCTGGCTTTTGGGGGGCTAGAGCTCAGGAGATAGAATTTATCCTTTCCGGTATTCCGCTCGTACCTCTCCTGCCTTTGATTGTTTTTTCCTGAACCTATTTGTGAAGCTGTCTGGCGTCTTTAGACAAGCTATTATAGTTTTCCTGTTGGCCTTTTAAACATAACCGGGGCTGGTTGCATTCATAGCAAGGCGTATCGTGGTGCCTGAGTTGATACTATTTGTAACTTACTAACAATAAGAAAAGCAATATTAATAACAATATTAGCAATTCTGATAACGTTATAATTATAAATTGGTTGCAGTTTGGAAATTTAATACAGTAATCAGTGCATATTACAATTCATTTGATTATCCCCCAAACAAGTGAATAAATACGTAGACGGTTTTAATAAATAAATAAAAGTATTACAAAGACTTAGCGTTTACAATATATACATCTCTTAGATAAATTGACAAAAGGCAATAGTCCTGCAGGCTACCAATCTAGCCAAGCCCTTTCGCTTACCCGGAGGACAGGTAGTGAAACAATTAAATAAGCAATTTAAATAAATAAATTTAAAATAATAATAATAATAATAATAATAATAATAGTAATAATAATAATAAAAAATAAATAAATTAAAAAATAAATAAATAAATAAATAAATACATACTTCAATAAATAAATAAAAAATTAGCAACTAGATAGAGAATACAGTTGCTCCGGGGTTTCCTCTGTGGGCCTCGAGGGTTGTAGACAATACTGAACTAGGCGGACCTCTGGGCCTCTGTGAATACAAGGCAGAGGTAATTTTTGTTTTGGTAAGGATTTTGAGTTCGTCCAGGTCTCACGTATAGTTTGTTATGGCTTCTGGTAGAGAGCAACAGGCAACCACTTCTGGCAATCAGCAGGCACCTTGCGCAAGTAATGGTAGCGCGCAAGCGGGGGTCATGCCTTGTGACCCACAAGCCTTTGCTCAATTTTTCCGGGCGTTTGAAACATTCTATAGGCAATGTAGGCCTGGGGCGGTAGCGCCCCCTGCCCCTGACCTTTCACAGGATGTAATACCAGACACACCGCCCAGCAATCAAGGGCAGCTGGGACCGCAGGGACCAGCAGTGGCCAATGCCCAGGCAGAAACGTCTAGTACGGGTCGCCCGAATACTGCGTGCCCAGCGGCCAGTTCTCGGAAGGCCAATCAAGGCACGGGAAAAGGTAAGGCTCCGTCAAAAGTTCCTGGTAAGGGTAGGGCCACTTCCAAGGTGCGAGCTCCAGTAACTTCTCTCAGGAGGTAGACATGCCTAGTGTGTTCCAGGAGCGGCAGCACCAGCATAGCTCCACTGAGGACAGTGAGAATTCCGGCTTGGAGGAAGAGCGCAGGGAACACCAAGTGGTCCCGCCGGTGGCTGAGGCGAATTCGACCATCGTCGAGGTCCAGGGCGGCAAGCGAAAGTGTAAGAAGAAGCACACGTCTGCCAAGAAGAAGAGGAGCAGGCAGTCCGAGACGGAAGATGAAACAGGTACGTCATCTTCTGATTCCGACAGTGACTGTACCATGGATGGTTACTGGGGTTTGGGAGAAGGGAATCATGGGATCCCACTTTGGGCTCATGAGAGGAGGGCCAACTCTCACCGAAAGACGTTTAATGGAGTTTTGGACTGGAAGGACGGGGCCTTGGTTGAGGATGTAAAGGTGGCCACCAACCAGTCCACCGATTTCATATTGGGGAACCACCTGTCCCAGAAAAAGAGGAATAAGATCCTCAATGGCGATTATGTAGACATGTTTACCCTGCTCCCCCCAACAAAACTGTTAGGAAAAGGTGAAAAGAGGCGATCTTCTGGTAAAGGAAGATACCGGACCCCCAGGGCCGAGCGCACATTCGAGAACTGGCTAGACGGGTACCAAGTTTTCATGGGAGTTGTTTGCGCTGCGTATCCTCGGAGATCGATGGATTTGGTGGCCTACTTAGCTCACGTTAGGCGGGCTCACTCGCCGCGGGGGAGCATGCCGCGTTAATGTATGACGAGAATTTTCGCAGAAATGCTTCCCTCCTCCCTACCACCCGGTGGGACCTAACGGACCCTAACTACTGGGGCGAGGACGTTAACCCGTATATTGAAAAGAAATACCTGGGATCCACATTGACCAAGCCTGGTAAGACGGAAGTGAAGCGGCGTCGCCTCTGCTGGGAATTCAACAGGGGTGTATGCGCCAGACCCGCCTGTAAGTATTCACATGAATGTGACAGGTGCTGGGGTAATCACCCCGCCTCGTCGTGCTATAAGAACAAGCAGCAGCCCTTTCGGGGGGGCAGGGGGTACTTTCACGGCAACATTAGAGGTGCCCCCGGAACTTCAAACCAGGGATCCGGCAATCGCCAATAACCCGCATCTCGGCCTGGCTTTTTCCCCCGTTCGTCTCCAGCCCCTCAAAACCCTTCTCGATCAATATACTAACCGCAATGCCGCGCAATACCTGTGGGAAGGGTTCTCAGAGGGCTTCAGAATCCCAGTGGCTTTTCCTCCTAGCACCGGGGATCCGCAAAACCAAAATCTGTTAGGGAAAGGCCAGATATCGTCAGGAAAAGATTGACAAAGAAATTAGGGCAGGTCGGGTGGCTGGCCCTTTCGCCAAACCCCCGCTGGAGGGCCTTCACTTATCCCCCCTGGGTATTGTACCTAAAAAGACCCCGGGGGAGTTCCGCATGATACATAACCTCTCTTATCCTAGGGGAGGATCAGTCAATGACGCGATCCCCCCTGAGCTTTGTACAGTCAAATATGCCTCCTTTGACCAAGCCGTAAAAATGATCCGCAGATTCGGTAAGGGTGCACTCCTGGCCAAATGCGACATCGAGTCGGCATTCCGCCTCTTGCCTGTCCATCCAGCGGACTTCCGTTGGCTGGGCTTCAGATTCGAGGGGCATATTTCATTGACAAAGCAATGCCTATGGGTTGCTCCGTGGCTTGCTCAGCCTTCGAGTCCTTTAGTACGTTCCTTGATTGGGCCTTGCGCTTTAGGACAGGTTCCTCGGGCGTGTCGCATTATTTGGATGATTTCATTTTAGTGGCTGAGGACGCGCAGCGATGTTCCGCCCTTCTGGCTGCGTTCACAGCCCTGGCCGGGGAGCTGGGAGTTCCTCTAGCGGCGGATAAAACGGAGGGTCCGGCCACGTCCCTAGTCTATTTAGGCATTGAGTTAGACACTGTCTCCCAGACATCTAGACTGCCCAGGGAAAAACTGGACGCACTGAGAGCTCTAATACAACAACTAATGCCACTTAGAAAAGTTACCTTAAGGCAAATTCAATCCCTGCTGGGGCACCTAAATTTCGCCTGCAGGGTGGTGTCCCCGGGTCGCCCCTTTTGCGGCCGCCTAGCCAGATTGTCTGCGGGGCTCAGGGCCCCACAGCATAGGGTTCGCCTCTCCAAGGAAGTCAAGGCGGACCTGGGCATGTGGCTTCAATTCCTCGACAAATACAACGGTATATCCTTATGGCAAGATTCCATGTCCCTTGGTGCCGATTTCCAGGTCCACTCGGACGCAGCGGGTTCTCTGGGCTTCGGAGTTTATTTCAGGGGTCAGTGGTGTGCCCAGAAGTGGCCTGCAGACTGGCGGGGACAGCCCATTACCCGAGACCTTACCTTCCTGGAGTTTTTCCCCATTGTGGTAGCTGTGCATCTTTGGGCAGAGCAGTTCCGGAACCACAGGGTTTGTTTTAACACAGATAACCAGGCCGTAGTAGGGGTCCTCGCTAGGCAGTCAGCGCGTTCCACCAGGGTAGGAAATTTGTTGAGGTCCTTTGTCCTCCTCTGCCTGGAAAAAAATATATATTTTTCGGCAAAATTTGTGCCTGGCTCCAATAATGATATAGCGGATGCTCTGTCTCGTTTCCAGATGGAGCGCTTTCGCTCGCTAGCCCCGGACGCGGAGCAATCATCGATGTCTTTCCCGGAGCATCTCTGGAGCCTTGGGAGCAGGAAGTGATGAAGGGAGTATTCGGTGCAGTTGCCCCCTCCACAATGAGATCCTACTCCAAGGCTTGGGCAGATTTTTTAAAGTTTGGAGCAAGATGCACAGTGCCAGGCAGAATTCAATTCCTTCAACTAGGGAGGTCCTCCACTTTCTAACCCATTTGAAGGAGTTGGGCCGGGCACCAAAGACTCTCAATATTCAGTCCGCGGGAATTTCTTATTTCTGTAAAGCATTTTTTGCCACGGACCCGTGCGCACAGTTTATCGTTCGCAAGACTTTGGAGGGTTGGCGTCGACAACACCCTCCCGGAGCCGACACGAGGCGGCCCATAACTTTCGACATTTTGGTTCGGATACATAGGAAATTGCGGGAAATATGCTGGTCTAAGTACGAAGCCCGCCTATTTTCCGCCGCCTACTCCATAGCCTTCTTTGGTGCCTTGCGCATCGGTGAGGTAGTTTGTGAAAGTGGAGTTGCCCGCGACCAGAGAGGCATTCTCTTAAGTGATTTGACCCTTTCCGAGGCCGAATTAATAATCCATATACGCAACTCTAAGACAGACCAACGAGGTAGGGGGGCCCTTTTGAGGTTGCCAGCCGCGGGTGCTAATGGCCCTTGTCCGGTTAGGGATTTGAGGCGTTTTCTCTACCTAAGACCCAATGGCCCTGGCCCCCTGCTTATTCACGCCGACGGATCGCTTTTGGCCAGGCATCAGTTTACTCGGGTGATGCGCTTGGCGTTGGCAGCATGCGGGCTGCCTGCCGCCGAGTTCGCGGCTCATTCTTTCCGGATAGGGGCGGCAACCACAGCTATGCATATGGGGCTATCGGCAGAGAGGATAAAGGACTTAGGGCGGTGGAAGTCGGATGCATACAAAGCCTACCTGAGAAAGAACTTTTGACTAGCGATCGTTCTCCTGACCCTGGTTTCTATGTCTATTTACTCTACAGGTTACAAACGGGTGCGCATTTGGTTGGTGGGCCACAGCATCGTGTACTGGGCCAAGAATCGTGCCATGGCTACCGGGTTGGGTCCAAACTTGAGCTTGCCAGAGAATGTGGAGCTGGTGTGGATAGCGCGAAGGGGAATGCGCTGGAGTGAATTCAAGTCAGCGGTATTGGCAAGAGCCGCCCTGGATGGCCCTCCTGATGCTCTGGTCGTTCAGCTGGGGAGAACGACCTGGCCTACCGCAAAGCTATTGACTTGAGATGGAACATTTTTGACGACTTCGGCTGAGCTGAGGGCAGCTTACCCTAATATTGCTATCTTGTGGTCCTCGTTGCTCGAGAGAAGGACCTGGAGGGATTGTGTGAGCCCGGTTGGAATCAATAAGGCAAGAAAGGTCTTGGAACGGGCCGTGGCACGTAGAGTGGCAGCTCTGGGTGGGTGTGTCATCGGACACCCTGGCATCCAGTTCAGCAACGAGGCCCTCTACAGATGGGATGGCGTGCACTTGTCAGATACAGGGAACGACATTTGGCTTAGGGACATCATAGCAGGGATTAGGAGTTGGTTGCAGGCTTGAGAGGTATTGGCGGCGAGCTTCGCTCGAGTGGCGGTTAGGCATTGGCTGGGGTTCATTGTTATGCAAATGTCTGGGGGGGAAGGAAGCGCCATCACCTTCCCCCATGAAAAGGGTAGTCCGGTAGAGGACTCCGGGGGGCGTTGCCTTGTCCGAAACCTAGGGAGGTAAGGGCCCCCGGCACGCCCCCGATCGGTGACACCCGCGGGATCCCTAGTTGGCGTACTTCAACAGGACTCCCGCGGTTTGTGGTTAACCCTTCCCGGGTTGTGTACCGGGTAGTCGATAGGAGCCAATGCCTAAGGCCAATACCTTTCAACTCTGTAATCAATAAAGTTGTGGCCTTTTTATGCCCATTAACCTTATATAATGTGTCCAGTGTCTTCTTTTCACACGGGGGAGGGGTCTTGCCACGCCAAGCCATTTCCGCCTTCGGTGGAGAGGGGGTTGCGGGCGACCCCCTCCCCCGCGCGGGGGCTGTCCTATGCCCCGCGAGACTCAGGGAATCCCGGGCGTGCCTCCGACCCGACCCGCCAATCGGCGGGCCGGGAGGCGTGGCCTGACCTAGTCTAAGGCCAGGTACGCCCGGGGACCGCCCTCTTGCCCCTCGCCACCTGAGCGGATTTTCCCATCCCACCCACCCTTTAGGCGTAGCTAGCATCGACCTTGCTATGGACTCCGGTTGGTCGCCGTAAGGGGCCTGGTAGGAATTTTTCCAAGTTGGCGCAATGTCAGCCTTTTGGTTTTTTCGCCTACCTCGTAGCAATCGTCACAACTTCACAGTATTTGGCGGTTAGGCATTGGCTGGGGTTCATTGTTATGCAAATGTCTGGGGGGGAAGGAAGCGCCATCACCTTCCCCCATGAAAAGGGTAGTCCGGTAGAGGACTCCGGGGGGCGTTGCCTTGTCCGAAACCTAGGGAGGTAAGGGCCCCCGGCACGCCCCCGATCGGTGACACCCGCGGGATCCTAGTTGGCGTACTTCAACAGGACTCCCGCGGTTTGTGGTTAACCCTTCCCGGGTTGTGTACCGGGTAGTCGATAGGAGCCAATGCCTAAGGCCAATACCTTTCAACTCTGTAATCAATAAAGTTGTGGCCTTTTTATGCCCATTAACCTTATATAATGTGTCCAGTGTCTTCTTTTCACACGGGGGAGGGGTCTTGCCACGCAAAAGAGCTGGAGGGCCGAGTTTACCTATTCCTGGTCTACGCTGAGCAAAACTTAACTGAATTCCATCCCCTATCTTTAGATTACAACCTAGAGGGTCCATCTTTTGCCTTGCAACGTGACACTGAACTGGGACATGAGAGACCCAAGGCATCTCTCAACCCCATTGCTGTGTCCATGGCCCATAGTTGGAATGCTGGAATTCCAGGCTTTAGAGTAAGCAGGGAAGAGGTGGGGGGAAAGCTAAGAGACCACAGCTGCTTTGTCTTCTGATCCAGCTGCATATTGAAGGAAACAAGAAATCTCCGAGTTGCAGCCTAGCAACCTTAGTCATCTAAACCAAATCTTTCTGGTGCATAACAAAATTAATTATCAGGACTTGGGGGTTTTTTTAAAAAAAATGCAAGCAAATGTTTATGCAGACAAAAAGAGCCTCCTGTTCCCACCAAAAAACCCTTTGCCATCTGCAGCCTGTTTTAAGGTGGACA